CCACACACACACACAAACACACACACACACACACACATCCATTACAATATGTAGCTACTTGCTGCAGAACAGTATAATCAACAAAGATATACTGAAAGAAACATTATATACAGTATAACACAAATAGGTCAAACACAGAAGACTCGAAATCACGCAACCATCGAACTGTGCCAGCGGTCCGTTCCAGTTTTCTTTTTCTTCTTTATCTGTGTAAGATACCTCTCAAACTACGAATGCCTCCATCTACTCATCCGTCGAACTACTGAGGCTGGTATCGACAAATTTGAGCTATTCGTGTTATACTGTATGTTGTATTGGGAATGTCATTTATTATGGATTAACTCACTTGAGCTATTTCCCATGTATTTACAGGATGCCCTGACGGCCTGGTAGCCTAATCTTGTGTATTTACGGGATGTGCTTTATCTGTGATATCTCCGATGTTTTTTCAGTTACAAGCTACAGGAAATGGTAAACCAACAGCTGACCCACTTGTTTCGTTAAAAATTTGGTGAAGTTATGAGCGACACTTTTTGAAATGTAACGGACTAATCCGTCACTCCCTCATTGTGATTGATGATTTTTAATATAAATTGGGCACACAAAAAATTGCATAGCCCCCAGACATTGCCATTTCAAAATATTTATAAGATTAAAACTATTCAGACAAATTAGATGCAGTTTTCTTTTTCTGTGAGAGCATTTCTTTTTTTTTTGGTTGCATTTTTAGAATTATGATTGCTTTAAGTCTTTTTGTGGTCAACGATTCAATATACCCCAAAACTGTCAAGCTACCATGGTTGCGGGGTGAAAAATAGCTCAGGTTCAAGCGAGTTTGAACTAGCCAGAAACAGAGGCATTATAAGCGCTGATTGGAATTTTGATAAAGAGATCACATTATTCATAGGACCTTAGAGCATGCATCAGAATACCATTGAGTTATAATCAGAATACTGAGTAGGTATCCAGTTTAACATTTTTATTGTTATATTACTGTTCATTTATATTATGCATGTGACTGTGAGCCTGGTTGTGAGTATACTATTATATCATTATTGTTATGTGTACTGGTGTGTGTGGAAGAGAGGATGCGTGAGGAAAGAGAGTGTGTATATATGGGTATGCACATGTGCGTGTGTACACTAGTGTGCGTACGCGTGTCTGTGTGTGAGTGTATGCGTGTGTGTGCATGTGTGCATGTTTGTGTGTGTGTGTGTGTGTATGTGTGTGTGTGTATGTAGGTGTGTGTGCATGTGTGTGCGTGTGTATGTGTGTACGTGGGGAAACACCAAACCAATGTGCCAGGATCAGGACAATAAAGATGTATCTTATCTTATATAACATCCCATAGGTATGCTGGTATGCAGTTTCAACTAACAGACAACATTGTAGCCAGAAACAAGTGACGCACTTCTGTCACTATACGGGTGTTTGTGTAGTAATGGTTGGGCTCTTCACAGTTGATCCCCCACCCCCCACACCAGAGCAGTGCTACTGACTGAAGTTACCTTTAGGCCGTTCCCAAAGGGGGGATTTAACATGTTCTTATGCACAGTATAATTGTAAATGGGCTGATTTATCAATGTCATGCCTATACTGTACCGGAACAACATAGGGCGAATTGCTGGTTCTTCTTTCTTCATCCTTACTATCGTAATTTTTTCCTCTACTTCTTTTGAACGTTTGTCACTCTCTTGTGAACTGTTATTTCCGCGGTGTCCTATAGTCGAAGCACACTTTGAGCTGTTAAGGCTAGAGAGGTGAGTAGAGTAAGCCCGATTCCCTGTTTGCACTTCTCTGTTGAAATCCATCCCTTGGCGCTCATATGACCTTATGCAGTTGCAAGCGCTGTAAAAACTAACACTTTAAAAAAAACTCTTCACAGTTGGATACAAAATATGAGAGTTTACTTTGTGGCATCGGAGGCCTAGTGGTTAGGCTCTGGGACTCGACAACAATAAGATCGTGGGTTCGAATCCCATCAGGGGCCCGACATTGTGTTCTTGGGAAAGGCACTTTAAATAAATTTTCCTCACCCCACCCAGGTGGGAATGGGTACCCAGCTATAGACAGCGAAAGATCTTGTCAGTTTGTAAGTGTTTGAGCGCTCAATCAGCTGCTTGCACCGAATGCTTCCCGGGAAGCTGAGAATGTTTCTGAGTGTTCTACGGTCTCCTGGGGTAATAAAGCATAAAGCTTGCTGTTGAGCGGGAGTATACGCTATATAAATGCTATTTATTTATTCGTTTATTATTATTATTACTTTCCATTATTTTATCAAGTATCTTTGCAGTCATTCTGCTGGTATGTTGTATTCCCCTCCGGACTAACAACAATCACTAACACGTTATGTTTCCGTCAATTGATAAATATCTGTTCACAGCTGACAGAACAGAGTAGACGGAAATCCTATTATTAACTCTTTGAACCCCATCGGATGCTCGGCGGTAATAACCCTGTTCCTCATCGGACGCTGCAGTACTAGCGACAACTGTTTCGTTTTATTTAGAGCTAGTTTTTGCTTGTTTTTCCGAAATATTCCCGAACCAAGTTTTTTTAGTAATGAATAAGCCTTTGTTTCCGCTATTTAGAAGATGGAGGCAAGCTTTTGGGGTTATAATGAGGCATAGTGCACTAGGTTTAGGTGACTGCAGAAATTTTTTGGGGGGAAATGGAGGAAAAAACTCAAGGCTTAAAGAGTTAAGAACACAACATCTTATCCAGTAGATCTGAGAAATGTACTCACATGTCCTTCTGTTTGCCCCCTCCAAGCATTGAAAGCGCCTTAGCGTGTTTTTGCATGCTTTTCTTTCCCCATCTGCAGTAAACTGTTCGTTTCAATTGTGGATGGTTGGTGGGTGCTCTGGTGTGGTTTGCTGCTTCTTCTTTCCTATCAAACATCTATCGTCTTTATCTCTCCTCCTTCTTTTTTGTGTTAGTTACTCTCTTGTAACACCTCTAATCTTCGGCACTTATATGACCTAATTGTGTTGCAAGTGCTGTAAAACTCTTACTAAAACTAAAAACAACAGTGGACTACGATGCAACTCACCCGAGGACTTGAGGATGACCTTGACCGTGTCTGGGTGAGACACGACGATCAGCGGAAACTGCATCAGCCAGGTTAGGAACATTCTGGGATATCTCCTTGTGATATCCCTCTGAAAGGCTAGACCTTTATCGTTTGGACCTGGATACTTGGTAAAAGAATTTTTGGCACACAATGATATAGATATACATAATCTACATATATGAGAGAGAGAGGGGGGAAAGAGACAGAGAGAGAGACAGACAGACAGATAGACAGACAGACAGACAGACAGACAGACAGACAGACAGACAGACAGACAGACAGACAGACAGACAGACAGACAGACAGACAAAAAAACAGAGAGAGAGAGAGAGAGAAAGAAAGAGATAGAGATAGAGGGCGGGGGGGGGGAGATATCTCATATAGCCTACATGAAAAGGAGTAATACAGAAAACAGTAAAGAAGAACTATTTGAGCATGATGTTACAATAAATTTTAATGTTTTTCTCTCTTTCTTTTCTCTCTCTCCTTGCTCCATCTTTTTACAAAAATTTCTCTCTTCCCATTTCTCTTTTTTCCCCTCCTTAACGCATAAATATATATATAATATGCACACACAGAGATCAGACCAGTTAGCATGTCTGTCTTCTTTCCTTCCCTTTTCTCATCTCATTCCTTTTCTTTCCTCCTGCATGTTTCTCATTTAATTCCTTTTCTAATGACTATGGCAATCTACGGTCTTGTAATTCTACCAAAGACTCACATTTGCGAGGCTCCCTGCATTTGTACACACAACAAAAAAAACTCAACTAAAACACACAATTTCTGGGTCCCTAGCAGAATTGTCCTTTCAGTATGCAGCCTTTTCGGGTTACCAAATGCCCTGCTTTCAAAACAACTTTTTCGTAGTCTAATAGGCTGTGCAACTTGAGCAATGAGAAAAATAATTGTTTTTTAAACATTTTTTTACGAAAATCGAGTCCGGGTTAGAGGTACTGTATTACATTTAACATGACCTGTTTACAATGTCATACCAGCAGGCATCAGAAAAAAAAATTGTGATGAAAACACATAGAAGAAAAATAAAGACAAGAACCAGCAAAGTTAAGGCATTAAAACAGAAATATGTCATTGATGGCATGCCATAAAGTACATAGGAACAAGAAAGAAAGGCTTAAAAGTACTTGGAAGAGGGACAAAAGTAGTTGAAGGAGGAACTTAGAGATTCAGATCTAAAAGAGATGGAATATAGCTGGACAGAGGTGGAAACTATAGCCCAGGACGGAAGTAGATGGAGAGCTCTTGTTGGTGGCCTGTACCCCTGCATAGGGTAAGAAAGGAGGAGGATGATGATGATGATGATGATGATGATGATGATGATGATGATGATGATGGTGATGATGATGGTGATGATGGTGATGATGATGGTGATGATGATGATGATGATGATGATGATAAAGCCATAAGACAGCAAAACGTTGAACATATTAGACATTAAAAAAAAATCTTACAAGTCTCCGCTGTTTTGTAATCTTTTTGCTGTCTACATTGATGATAATGATAATGATGATGATGACGACAACGTCAATGACTAACAGAGATGTGGAGAGACTGCTGACCTCCGTGCATAAATGTCCCAAAATAAGGATCAACATGGCAATTAGGCAAATTCACAAGCTGGTGTTAGAGATAGGAAAGAGGTACTTTATCGTTGTTTACACTGACAGTGTCATCTATCCAGATGGTTTTCGGAGCATTCACCCGCCACATAAATATAGAATATTAGTGATAGAAATAATGTTTGCATTTGAAAAGTCCAAAGGATAAATAGCATTAGTAACAATTTTCAATTATTGCCTTTGTCTGGCTTTTTTCCTGTTCGTTCATGGATATCATTTCCATGGGAAACAGCTGTAGCAATGCACCAGTGATACATTTTAAACAGTTGTGCATGGAAAGAAAGGCAGTAGCCCATATATATGAACATGGGAGAGAAAAGCAGTATAGTGCTATAGTCCTTAATATAATTTTTTTCCAGTGACCAATACACGTACTGCAAAGCAGTTTTCCCGTGCTGTCTTCATTTGTATTGCCCAGATTTTAAGTCATAATACAATTTAAAGATAATGTATACATTTTTTTTAAAAGTGTTTCTTTCTCTGGCTTTATTAAGACTTTTAAAAAAAAAGCCCTCTCAGTCTAGATCCAGGCTAAGTTTATATATAAAACAAGTCTTTGATTTATTTTTCTTTCCTCAGAGTAGAGAGAATAACTTAGCTTTAGTTTTAGTAAGAGTATCAAGAGTATTACGGCACTTGCAAAACAATCAAGTTACATAAGTGCCGAAGATTAGAGGTGTAACAATGGTGCAATAAACATAAAAAAGAAGGAGGAGAGATTAGGATGAAAGATGTTTGATAGGAAAGAAGGAGCAAACCACATCAGAGCACTCGCCAACCACCCATAGCCAAAAACTGAAGAGATGTATAGGCTACTCTGCTCCTAGCCGCATACTCTAGGGGTTTAAGTGATACATCTGCCAAAAGCAGAGATGAGTGGCTAAACAGATCGGCCAACGCAGAAACAAACCCAACCCCAAAGACCCTTCGAATCTCTTATGCAGAGCCAATCAGACTTTGATCTTCAGAGCACGCACAGGACACTTACACACCAACAAGCATATAAACAGAATTAACCCCTTGTGGGAACCCCATTGCAGACACTGTGACTACCACGAGGAGACAGTTGAATATCTTCTCCTTCACTGCCCAAACCTGGCAGTTCTTCGACCCAGGCTCCTACACACACCTACAGACTTACAAAGCCTGCTCTAAAATGGCGTTGACCAGATGACAAGGACATGTGGTTACTTAAGGGAGGCATTGCGCTGCCAAGAGCGAAATGCTCGCAGCTAAAGGGATTTGAAAACAACAACAACAACACCGTGATACATCTGAGGTCTCTTTTACCACAAAAGATTCTGGACAAATGTTGATATGGCTTAAACGATCTTTACGTCAGGATTTCTAGATTTTTGCCTTTAACACTTTCAGGCTGAAGTATTTTCCTTACTAAAAATACACAATTCGCTTTTCTTTCCCAGTCAGTTTCTTTTGTATATATATCTATCTACATCAGGATCAACTGTGGACTTGGTTCTAACCCATCGGAGAATGGCATTACAATCTAAAGCCCGGCCTCATAACCTTAATGACGATTAAGTAGCATAAAATTCATATATACCATACCATACAATACCATACCGTATCATCCGTGCCTTTACCATACCATACCATATCATATCACACCATCCATACCATACTATACTATATCATACTACAATTTTTTTGCTGTAGATCACACATACCATACCATACCATACCACACCACACCACACCATTCGTGTCATACCGTACTGCACAGCACCGCACCGCAACATACCCTACCAATTTTTTTTGGTTTCTGTACATCAATCTGTACATCAAGATAGTGTAATAGGTTGTTGGGTAACGATCAGCAAATAACACTTACTTGAAATAAATTTCCAAAAATGAAATTTGGAGGATCATAGGGAAAGACTTTGAGCCTGTTCAGATATTTTCTGTACGCCACCAGCCAAAAGATAGACTTGACAACAACAACCAATGAGGCTGCGATTGCCAATGCCCCAACCACGTACAGGCTCAAGGACGTCATGGTAAATCTGAGGAAATAAAATTATAAGAACTCATTTTACTGGACTCATGTAAACTAATTCCCCCCACAACAGCAGTAGGAAGTTCGATAGAAAAAAAATAATGCCACAGCAGAGGGTATACTGATAGTATTATACTTATAGCAATATGCACTAAAATATGTATTAAATATGGTAAATTTTCTAAATCAAAATAAATTTCCCTAGATCATGTGGCATCGGCAGTCTGGTGGTTAGGATACCAGACTCATAATTGTGAGGTTGCGGGTTCCAGGTTGTGAGCCTCAGGCCTGATGTTGTGTCCTTGGGAAAGGCACTTTACACGCATTTTCCTCACTTCACCCACGTGAAAATGGTTACCTTTGCCCCTAGACAGCCAAAGATCTTGTCAGTATGTTGGTGTTTTAGTGCTTATAAAAATGGCAGCTTGTATTGCGGGTATAGTATGCTTCCCAGGAAGTTGAAATTGTTTCAGAATGCTGTCAAGTCCACTGGATTAATAGTATAGATTGGAGGTGCTGCATAGAGCTTGCTGTTGAGTGGGAATTTACGCTATACAAATGCTATCTTATTACTATTGTAAGGGTCATGACTAGATAACTCACATAAATCAGGAGGCTTGCTGATATTTGAGCAGTCTACTGGGGCTGAAACATTCAGATGTCAAACATGCAAAGTCAAATACTGTACCTTCTGTATTAATTTCAACTTAGGGCAGTACATACTGAACTGCCATAAAATAGCATTATAATATAATATATATGTTCAGTGCAATTTACCGATCTGTGCAATCTTAAAATTGCGCTACACGTTTTAACAATCGTATAATTGCGCTACCATCTTAAGATTGTGTAGCAATTTTAAGATTGTGTTGCATGTTTTAACGATGGTATAATTGCCCGGCAATCTGAACATTGCGTTAATATTTTATATTTTTTAAATAACAAAAAAACCCCAAACACTTCCATTGTTTATTCTTTTACTCACATTAAGGAACATTCACATACATTTACATTAAGGAACATTCACATACATTTTCAAAAGGGTAAAAATATGAAAAATAAATTAAAATTAACATATGAAACTGAACAGCTCACGAGAATGATGTGAATTTTTAAATAAATATATTTCAAAAGTATAAAGTAAATTAAATGAACTTTGTGAACATTGAGCTTCTGGCATTGTATCATTTTTGTGAGCTCTTCAGTTTCATCATATATATGTCAATTTCAGATTGCCATGCAATTATACTATCGTTAAAACGGACAGCACTATCTTAAGATGGCCGCGCAATCTTAAGATGGCTACGCAATTATACAATCATTAAAACGCACAGCGCAGCAGATCGGACAATTGCACGGAACATTTATATAGACAAATGATAACCTGCTAGAGGCTCAAACTGAAAAGTTCCCAAGGGGGCTAACGTGGTCAAGAGGTTAAGGTGTTTGCCTCTCATTCAATTGGTCGTGGGTTCCAATCCGGATAGCGACTGAACATTTTTAAAATAAAATTTTCTCCTTTCACAAATCCTTTCCTGCTCTCTTTCTCTTTCAATGTTCTGTCATCTGCTTTCGTCTCTACTTTCTGCTCCCCCACCCTTCCTCTGGGCTCCTGACTCTTTTTGCAGCATTTCTACTGCTACTCCTTCGCTCCTTCTAATTACTGCTGTCATTCAGCCACACCTCAGATCTTCTGGTAGGAAAGATCTACACCCAGCCTTCTCGGAGAAGGGCGAAAAATATCGGAAGTTCATTGTGCAAGTTGCGAATGTAAAAGATCCCTTGGTGGTCCAAAATCGATAAGAGTAGGCTTCAGCCACCACCTGGGCAAAATTCAAAATTTCCTACCAACTAAAAATGTTTAATGTGTCCCACGCATTCACGACCTTATGCAGTTGCGAGCGCCGTAAAATACTTACAAAATTTTTAAAAATAAAATAAGTTCCCAAATCACTGTGGGCCTCTGACACTGAGACAGAACAAGGACCATCATGATAAACCATCCATCCCCATATATATATAAATCATGACCAGAGTAGGTTGAGCAGCATTATATTATATTACGCCGCTAAACTTTTCCACCTCTACGTGTACAGAGTTTGTTACCATATAATAATATAAGTTGAGAGAGCTTCCCTAAGCTAAACCTCTTCTCTGCACATGTAGTCCTGCTGTTCCTTAGTCCCTTCCCTGTACAAGTAACTATAGCCTAACTATAATAACTTTATAAGGAACAAGGGCAGCTGATAAATTATTATTTTCACTCCTCCTGCTCACAGATGCACTGCTTTGGGGGGGGGGGGGGGGGGTGAACCAGAACCGGTTGTAATTTTTGCTGCAGATCACAAAATGGCCCCTAAAATTGTTGCAAATCCATTCATTTTCAAGAAATTTCAAACCAAAATATCAAACTAAGGGAAAAAAAAACACAGGGACGGATCTCACACAGGTAATAAACATGGTGTGCAACCCCCCCTCCCCTACCCCCCGGCCTTCTCAGTTCAGGCTATATATCTCGGACGATTGGCTTCGGCATTGAGGGCCAGGGTGGACGACCTTATCTTGATAAGCTTGCCTCGAGACCGATCCTTATCTTATCGAGGATCAATGTGAAAAGCGGCGATAGGTAGATGCTCTAATACTAAAACGTATACAAGTGGTGGAACATTTTTGCATTACGCTTTTGCGTGCCGATAGTGTAACAGTAATGTGTATAGTGTGTAGCCATCTAGTCTGTCTAATCTCCTAGCCTCTTCATTGTTCAATTCAGTCCTCTTGGGTGTACACGTTTTTTTCGTTTGGATGTATTTTCACTGCACTCGATTATAAGGATTAAATTTGTGCTTATGTGTTTTAGTGTTCAGCCCAGATTCTAGTTTTCTTTCATCTTGAATGTTACTGTTACTAGAATCTACTGTTACTGTGAAAAAGTTTTCAGCTGACGTCTCAGTTTCAGCGCAATGAACCGTGTGAGCAACATTTGAACATGGGAAGAAAGTGTAGGGGATGGGGCAGTAGAAGTTATGCCAGCCAAAAGGGAAATGCAAAAGAACAATAATATAGATTTCCAAAAGATTAGGAAAAAAAGCACAGTGCACAGTGGATCAAAAGTGTTCCGAAATTAATTGTAGAAGATGTCACCGATTAAATGAACATATATTTATATATATGTTTGTATATATATAGAGAGCAACTGCAACAAGTTCAGCTTCTTTTAGAGCTGCTGATATTGATGAAATGAATATACATGTATTTAAAATTTAAAGAAAGAGATGTCTTCAAGTTCGATTCATTTTATCAAACAATGGACGCTGACAGCCATTGGCAATGTTGCAAAGAATAAAAATAATTATTATAATACATTTGTCTTGCTCAGCAGAACTTGAGATGGCCCTATTTTTGCATTTTCCATGTATTTTACTTTTGTTCACCATACCCATGACCACGTGAAAGAGGTTTCATTTGAAGTTTCACAAACTGAAGCACATCAGGCTTCCAGACTTCACTAGAGATGTTGCCACATGCTAGAGTCAGTTAGCCATACATAAAATTTTGCACTTCGTGTGTAACCTTCCAGAGAGACATTGTTGGCCTACACTACTTGTTGGGTAGGTTGTTTTTTAAATATTTTATGGAAACCACTGAAAAGCTGTGCAGAAACTGATTAGTGGCGATTTTGTGAGACTTTCCAGCGATATTCCATCTTGATATATTGTTATTGTAAGCTGATGTGGCTGGCAAAATATCTTCATGAAATATTTGCGGAGCAAATGAAGGACCACGGAAATGGCCTCCAATGCCTAGGCCAGTCGTGCGGGCTGTGTGGCCTGGGACTGAGAAAGCCTAGCCCTCCCCCCCAACCAAAAAAATAATTTGGTAACTGAACCACACTCAAAATCTTAGTAAATCTAAACGACCTGCACTCTTACTCAAAGTCTAAGGACACATTAACCAAATGTAACTTAATCTCCCAACTTCCCCTCCAATCCGCCCTATCAATTTCGAAATCTTTAATCTTTAATTATAAAACAAGTCTCAAAAGTGACTCTCCATTCTTTCCCTTTTATTTCCTGCCCTCGTTCTCAACAACAACAAAATAATTAAAAACTTACTGTTCACAAAATAACCAGCAATTGCAATTAATAATCAGTCTGAGCTCCCTCAAAACCAACACTTACCTGTGTACTGTTCAATGACTGCTGTGCCCAGACCCCCCACCACAAGAGGTCTAAGAGAACCTATTATTTACATAGAACGTATACATGCAAGAACTCCTTATCAAATTCAAATAGAATCTAGGCTGTGTAGACTAGTTGAGTTATTGTGTACAGAACTACCGCTGCGCTTCAATCCATCACTGTGACCTAAAACGAAGAGTGTAGAGGCAGAGGTAACACGAGAAGCGAAACTCAGGCTCAACACTGACAACAATCAAGAATCAATATTCCAATCTGGTGCAAGCCTATAATCTAGATCTAGATCTAGAATCTAACATACTAATAAATAAATCTCAGCAAACAGTCAGGATAACTACACATGTTCCGTTAGTAAATCAGTAATCTCAAATTGACAATTTACACACAAAGCAACACTTCGAAGAACGCAGTAGAACCTAGATTAAACAAACCTTGTTCTGTGACAAAAGGAACCCCCTTCCTCCGCTCGTTTTTCTTCCGTGCATATATATATGTGTGCTGCCTTTTGTGTGAAACTCGAAATCCGGAAAAGAATCCGGTGGTCAAAGTACGTTCACGTCGGCGGGGTGTAAATCTATTGGTCAGTTTGCTGCACCAGCGACCAGGAGCTGACACCGCAGGCAAGCACGAGCTTAGGCCTAGTTCAACTATAATTAGTACTGGACTGGTCCATCGGGTCAACTAAAAATACCAGCGACACCACAGCAGGTGGGCGGCGCATTAACATGATAATATATTATATAACCAGTCCGTGATTTGTGGCACATCGCCTCAGGCGGTACGTTGTCAATTCAAAGGTAGCTCAAGGATAGGTATAGTCCCGTTGGGATAGTTCTCTCATTAATTTAACGAAGGCCTTAATTTAATTGTTAAAAAAAAAATTTTTGTACTTAGTTTCCTCACACGAAGTCACACTTGCTGAACGCATATATAAGCGCTCACGAAATAGCGCAATTTGGGCCTATTGAATGCCACGTTTTATTAACTCTATAATGTTGACGTATCGACGACCACGTGTCCAGTCACCAATATTATGATCGAGTAGCCTCGAGACCAAGACAATAATATTTGGGGCACATACTCATATTATGTAAGATCATACACAAGTCAGAAACACGAATTTAAACATTAAATATGCATAATGTTACAGTGCTCTCTTTTCTTGTGTTTTAGGTAAGGAAAAAGAAATTAAAAATTTGTAGGCCTGTCGATATTCCCTAAATAGTGCGTGTTTAATCAGTTATAATAATAATAATAATTGCATTTATATAGCGCATATCCATGCTCCAGAGCTTGCTCTATGCGCTTTACAACTATTATTACCCCAGCTGACCCTCTGAGACCACCCAGAAACATTCTCAGCTTCCGTGGAAGCATGCAGTGCAAGCTGCGGATTTTACGCGCTCAAACACTATCAAACTGACAAGATCTTTCACTGTCTATAGCTGGGTACCCATTTCCACCTGGGTGAAGTGAGGAAAATTTGTGCGAAGTGCCTTTCCCAAGGACACAACGTCAGGTCCCAGACAGGATTCGAACCCACGACCTTACGGTTGCGAGTCCGAGAGCCTAACCACTAGGCCACCGACGCCACATGATCGATCAGTTAAATGACGTATAATGAGCATTCTCAAGGCCACGTGTTAGTCTTATCAACCATTCTGTACCTCATTGCCCTTCATAGGCTTGTTTTGATAGGCCTACTGATAACCACGCAGTGTTTGTAGAGTAATGGAACAGCGTTTCCCTGTCGCACGCAGCAGACCTGAGTTCAATTCCCGTGTGGGAAGAATTTTTTACAACAAAGTACATTATTGTATCTCGGTCTTTCTGCTGAGATCTACGAATTGTATCCACCTCGATCGTTCCGGGTCGGACCTACACAGGAAGAGTCGAAGTCCGCTTTAAAAAACCCAAACAAAAACAAAAAACAAACAAACAACTGTCGATTGGATATATTGATGCGTACGCCTGTTATTGTAATCGCAATGTTTTCTAAATGGACAACAGGAGCAGGGCCAATATGTGGAACTTTAATCTTCTGATAAACCGAACATCACAACGTAACAGGTGAATGTCTTGACCTTTTTATCTGTTCAATGCATATATA